GAAACTACTTAGAAAGTCTCACTTTGAATTTTTTTTTTTTTTTGGTAGTTCGTTACATTACTACTAAATGCAATATATGAGGACATCACTACTTTGATGTTGTACAGCTACAACAAATGGAAACTAATATGGTAGAACAGTCAAGCTATGTGATTTGTGTTTGCATATACAAATACATATCCATCAATCTTCTTCTATACCATGTTATCACTGCCACCCATCTGCCTCCTTACTGTTACTTCTGTTTTCCTAAAAACAACGACTATTTCATGCCCATATTTGTAAGAGAGAAACATGTATTTCAGAGAGGTGTAAAAACTAAAATTTTCTCCAAGCTATTGTCTCCTACTGCAAATTCACTGTTGGCAAAGAGTTTTAATAGTGCTTTCAGACAATTTTAAATAGGAACACAACTGCTGCCAGACATTGCAGCATTCTTCTTCTCACAGATCTAGTCACACCAAGAATACTTACACTTCTTGCAAAGCAACAAATTATTAAACAGGCTAGATTCTCTGACCTGCTCCAACCTTTTGTAGTGAACTAGCAGTGTGCGAGATTATAGACAGACTAGCTCTTGTTAGTTGAAAGTAGGGTAGGGAAGAACTGATGTAAACGTGTCTAGATCTGCAGCTCCTCTGCCACCTCTGCTGAAACGCTTGCTATTGATGGAATAGAAAGAATGCAGGTGGGAACTGAGGTCCATTCCATTTTGGCACCATCTTCCCCATCATCACCTGTCCAGCTGAGATTTCACGATATAATTAGTTTATTTTTTACCTTCTACATAATTAGTTTATGTAAAAACTGAAGGTCATGGAGTAAGATAGAGTGGACAGAGTAATGCGTGAAGAGCAGTGCATTGTTTCCTCTTTCTAGTGTTACAGAAAATACTTTCTCATCTGCAAGGACAGTGCTGTGTAGGAATTACTTTAGTGGGTGATTTGGTCTGGGTATTTTTCCTATTGCTCCTAGAAACATAGACTATAGACAAAACCTAAAAGGTCTTACACAGACAGAGCTCTCAGGTGCAGGGGATTTGCCTCAGTAAAGAATTCAGAAATTGTCATCTCTTTGTTGTGTAATGATTCTGCTAAAAACAAAGGCATGTACAATGTTTTATAACTGAAGCAGTAGTACCTGTCACCAATAATGAACTTTTCTTCAGAATATGGAAATTAAAAGTATCAGATTGATGTGAATGATTAATAACAATCCTGTAACCTGTAAAATTCTTTTTACACAATAATAATCTCCTGAAAATTTACTCTCAGTTCCTCAAGTAAGATTTGTAATGACTCTAGATCCTTTGACAAAGTTGAACTCAGTATTTATCTTTATTTAATAATAGAGCAGACAGGTCATTTCTTATGCAAGACATCAGCAGGGACCTTTGCATGCCTCTCCCATCATTGCATTTTGCAGAACAGTTTTACTTAGAGCCTTAGCCTGTGATTCATTTCACATCCCCATTCCCCAATTAGATCATTTGGTGTATGTTTGATTTACCAGCAGCAAAGCAGGCATTGTGTCTTTTAGTATCTCAGATATGTTTGCATAGACTAGAATTGTAACCTACAGTTGCAACTTATACTGAACAGTTTTAGATTTCAGAATACTGAGAGCATGATATAATTGATCATACACAGCATGTTAGCCGGCTTATCTCTTTTGGGACATGAGGGGCAATCATTGGAATCTGGATGTGAGGGAAAGGAGAGGAGGTCAGATGTTAAAAATGAAATTGTGGCAGTTCTACTGTCAAGGCAGAGCCAGGCAATGCGGTAAAACCAAGCTTGTGCAAAATTATTTCCCTGTATATTAGTGCAATATGAATAATACACGTTACCTTTCAAAGCAGGAAAAATGTAGCACCTTTCTCTTCTAGCCCAAGTTCTAGTCCAAAGCTAGAGACAAACACAACCAATACAGCAGGACAGCACTTGTTAGCAGGACAGCTACAGCTTCATTGTGATCTGGACTTCACTCTGTCCCGCAGGTTGCTCACAGGACCTATGTCTGATCTTCCAAAGAAGAAAAAGCTATTTTCTACCTAAATGTTTCAGGTGAAAGCCTGGGTCAGTGAACAGTTGAATGTTAATTTACTCATAAAACAGATTCACTTGGATTATTTAGGATCAAGGTCTATTAAAGAGGTGCTCTCTCTGCCATGTGAAGTCCCAGCACTACTGCTTGCTAGAACCTGGGCTGACAAACCATGTGAGCAATTGATCCACGCTTGCTCTGTTTCTTGTACTCGCCCATAGGCAGCTTCTGTTGGCCACAGGACACAGACTGCTGGTCTGGCACAATAGGATCATGCGTCTGTTCTCAGTTGTGAAGTTACATTTTTGTTTAGGCTTTTGCTTCAGGGTCTAAACAGAAGCACGTTTTTCTATGTTTGGTTGGTAAAAGCATGATGCTGAGGAAAGGAACTGAGGGGGCAGGGCTGGTCGCAGTTCATTTTCATGCTGCTGCTCAGATCAGTGTGCAAGGCATAGACAACAGCTATTATAGCAGCACCCTACTCACCTCTATCTTCTGTTGAGGTGGTTTAATAAGACATTAAATAAGAGGCGGTAGCAACCAAAAGGTAGTTCCACTTTAAATATGGCCATATCTGGACTGGTCTTCCTGCTCTTCACACCCATAAAATAAGATACCAGCAGAAGAGGGGGCTCAATGTTTAACTTTGCAAGGGAGGGGAAGCATGCCCATTCCCAGTGCAAGCAGCAGGAGCAAAGTGGGGGCATTAATGATGTGTGGAGATGGGCCGATTCAGTACTTGTGCAGTTTTTCCAGATGCATGAGTTTGAGTCTCACCTGCTCTATTGTCCTGCCACTTCTCTTCTGCTGAAAGAGGGCACAGTGTCATTTAAACTGGTGATTCAGAGGCAGCCAGGTATGATGCTAAAAACCTCTCTCCATGGTGTAGAAATTGTCATGGCTGATGGGTCAGGGTGACCTTATTTCTTGACTTTGTTCACTGTCTTTTAAAATGCAGCAAAGGCTTCTACAGTGATTCATGGAAGCTACTGTAAGCCTAAAGCACAAATCTCACTGTCTGATGTGTGCAACGTAAGAAATTTTGAAGCTCAAAATGCTTTGGAATTTGCCAAAACTATTTCTGGTCATTTTGTATGTGTTAATGTTTGAATCTCTCTTGTTCTGCGAAAGGCTCGTAAACATAAGCACTTTCTTTTATCACAGTTAAATCAGTGAAAGGCATGTCTTTTGTTAATTATCTGCACCATTGGGCACCATAGTCATAAGGCTGCTACAAAAGAGGAGGATCATCTGAAACCACTTGCTAATTCTGTTTTTAAGTCTTTCCATTTCAGGTAACATTTTTCTTCAGTGCAGAGATTTACATTTTTCTTAAAAAATTGTGTTTTGCCTTTGGTTCTGGAACCTACTTGGCTTTCCAGAGAAGGCAAACAGTGCACTGCACATAAACTCCCAGGGATCAAATGTTAGCTCTTAGTGTAATATCATCTTCTGCACATTTTTATATTATTGCAGTTCATTACAGTGCACCACAAGATGGAAAACAGTAAAAGCCTCTTTATTTATAAGGTTATTACAGGTATGCTCCAGTGTATCTCATGTGTATACATCCTGTCAAAATATTTCAGGATTTTGACAACAGTGCCTGAACTTGTTTCAAGTGACATGACATGGCTTTTAACTCTTTTTTTTTTTACAGTTTTAGTATTTATAAGAATAGCTAATAAAAGTGTTACCCATGCACTAAAAAAATAGAGAATACCTTGTTGAACAAAAAGGTTTAAATAAACAACAGTTGAGTTTTTCAGTTAAATAACCTGTACAGGAAATTATTATGATGTTCTCTGTAACTGCTCTGGAAAAAAAAAAAAAAAAAAAAAAAAAAAGCCTTGAAGACTATGGAAGGTGTAACAGACCTAATTAAAGCCCACACTGTTTCTCCAGAGAAACATATTTTGTGTAATGTAAATGCGCTGCATAGAAAATGTTCTTGTGCTTATTTTATAGTTTGCCTTTATTTTTTCCTTGTATGGCTGTACTGCATCATATTTTACAATGTGATGTGTACCTGTCTTCAGAATTGCAAACTGTGTTATCACTTCTGGAATGTGAAAAAGAATTATGTATTTCCTGTATTTTTTTAAGTGTCAATGTCAATTATGATCCAAGGTCTGTTTTCATATCCAAGGAGTGTGGATGTGTTCGTGCTGGAAAACACATTCATGTTCTAAAATAGGTGGCTATTTCATTGTTGTGTTCATTATGTGTGTATGTAAGTGTAGGTATTATCAGGAGCATTCTTTTTAGCTTTTAGGATCTGAATCAGCTTTTAGCTCTGAATCAGAGGCTGAAAACACTGATACATCTGGAATTTCAGAGCATTTCCAGGGACTGACAATTAATGGTACTCAGCCAACCCTGTACCTTGTCACTGATGGATGATTAGAGTTTAGCTCATGAGAAGGTGTTCAGAGAAGAGTCATTGATATTTTATTCATTTATCAGTTTGGTTGGGGATCTCTATGGGTTTAAATCAGAGTTGATATTCATGAAGTGGTCTAGAAGTATCCATGTAAATGGTCAGATTATTCTCTGCTGTCTGTAGTTTTGTGTTTACATGTTAAACTCTGCAGGTCAGACATAATTGCTTTGTATGTTTATAAAACTATACTGCTATCTGTGTTTCTAAAGTATCTAAAATAAAGTAGTAGCCTCCCAGTACCACTGAATAGCAAATGGTAATTAGCAGAAGGGGACCATTTTGTTCTGTGCCTGGCAGTGCTCACCCATACTTATTGAGTCCTTTTTTTCCTGAACTGCAGTGGTGGTATTATGACATAGGATTAAGCAGCCAATTAATATCCTGAATTCTTGTAGTTCTTTCCCAGTGAAGCTGCAGGAAGGATCATCTGATAATCTGTAAATCCAAAGAGCTTGCTAATTCCACGTGCTCCTCTGCCAGCATGTTGCTGATAACTGACTTACATTTATAGGTGTGCAGTGCAATCCAGAATCAAGATTTCACTGTTATTGATGACTACTGCACTGGACTACGAGCTCTTCTTTACCTGAAAAGCATTGAGGAACTTGAAGATTGGGATGGACAGAGTCCTGCAACCGTGTGCCATCAGAAAGGAAAACCAGTACCTAGAATTGCTGATCTGACGGGAAAGGTGTGTTATTTCATTGCCATTCCTATATAATGACACTATGTCTTTGCTTTGAATGCAATTCCATAATGATTGTATGCAGTTTCTGCTGTTTACCTTGGTTAACCATTGCTGCTGTCACAATTAGTCACCAAGTCTTTTCCTTCTAAATATTAACAAATACCTGAAGGCAGCTTAAGAAGACAAACCTGAAATTACTTAATATGGGAGAACATTTTTACTATAAATACGATCTCTCCACTTGATTCATAACATCACGTCTTTCAAAAAAAAGGGTAGCATGTAAAATTACAAATTTTACAAGTTCTGAAACTGCTTGTTTTAATGAAACTAAACTCAATTCAGATTGATACTAAAATTGTGCCGGAAGTTCCTGGCTGTTCCAGCCAGGGTGCAACGTTCAGGAGACATGGAAGCCCCCTAGCACTGTACCTGACCAGCTGAGACAGCTTGTCACAAACCAGCTGTTATTTGGAACACTAGATCAGGTAGGAGTGGCCCTTCAATAATCATACCTGAGCATCTCACGGTCTTTCATGTGTACTGATTCCCAAACCCTTTGCAAGGCGAGGAAATTCCAGGTGAGACACAGTGACACTAAATAATTTAATAGATTCAGCAAGATCATTTAAACCTAGAAAGTCTGTGGTGGAATAAGAATGTAAACTATGGTCTCTCTGAAATCCTAATCTCTGGACTGTCTTTCCTCTATTCTCTAGTAGTTCCCAGCATCTTTGGAGATTTTTGCCAGATGCAGTGGGTTGCAGCTGCCCCAGTACTGCTCACCCCTCCACCAGGGCACTGGCTGATCCATGCTGAGAAGCAGGGAGGTGTAACTGGCTTCCTACTGATGCCCCACTGGCTACTGCTCTAAGCAAAATACCTACACAGCATGGAGGCTGAGCTTTTGTTTCTGGTTACTAGAGGGGATCACTTTGAAGACTGATTTCAGTTATACGTCATGGCTATTGATTATCCTTCCAAAAATCTGATATAACACTGTTGAAAATGTTGTAAAAAGTAAAGAACTACAAAAGAATAGGATTTGGAGTGTCAAACGCCTCCAAATCTCTGCTTATCGTTGCTGATGACTGGAGTTGGATTTAGCAGGAGATTAGAGACTCCTATATTGTTGTTGTTCTCTGTGGAGCTCTGAAAATTATAACATTACCTTCCAGAAGAAAAGACAATCCTATTCCTAAAGCTCTGGATAATACGCTGCTTAAAAATAAAACGAGATATAAGCAGTTTCATTTTCATCTACTTACGTTAAGCAGTTAAACCAGGCTCAAAGGGTTATATCTAAACTTCTTTCCTTTAACACCTGTAGAAACATGCACAGCATTTCCAACTCACGTAACAGAGATTTGTTGTAATTCTTCTTTAAAGGTGCATTCAGTGTTCTATCTTTGTATTACCTTTGTATTTTACTAAACAGACAACTATTGTCAAAGATGTTTTTCATGTCCTTTTGAATGAGAAAAAAAAATTAATTCGTAGTCTTTTCTGCTTGTCACTACATCAATAATTAACTTTAAAAAGGTAGCGTGAAAAGATGCTTTAAGGAAGCATTTAATAATTCAAAGGAGTCTTAACTTGAAACAGGTCACATGAAAAAGAATGAAAAACAAAGACCTGTGTAATCTTGTCTGGCTGGCTCTGTTAGACATTTAAAAGGAACAAGGCATACAGAATGTAACTGATTGCATATTTGATTGCCCTTAGCACTGAATTATATCATTGGCTCATTGCTACTAAATAATAACATATAAAGTGAACCAGGCATCATTGATAAGTTAGTGATATATTTTAGGCATAAGCTCAGGATGGCTGTTTGTCCAGGAATGAGCATTCAAGGAAAAAGGAAGAAAAATAATACAACACAGGTAAAAGGAAATACCATGATAAATGATCATACTAGGGGCAATCAAATACAGAGGCTTGATATCATTAATATTTATAATATCATAATTAGCAAGACTGTGCCTAAGCTGTGTTATTAGTGTAACTAATTATGTTATCATAAACTAAGTTTGCAGTATTACAGGAATAAGTATTCTTACCTTCATAAATTATTATCAATATTGGATTTCATGTACTTGTGCCCAGTAAATTTAGTTAACTACTGTAGCTTCATCTAGATTCAAACACAAATATCTAACTTGCTTGGCAGCAAGTCGTAACACACGCTTCTGATTCTTTCTAAATTAAATTCACTAAAAAGCATGTCCTTACTCTATATTTGGAAAAGAGAAGATAGCCTGTTGATGTGATGTGTGTGTTCTCATTGATAAAAGTCATGTGTAGGAATGTGTTTGTTGTATATGAGGTAAAATGTGGCAGTCAAAGTCCTGCATTACGATTTTTAAAAACTTATAAGGAGCTGTCCAAGTTTGTCTTGGTATTACTGTGAGACGAGATGCAGTTTCTTCCATAAGACGCACGAGAAGCTTAAACAGCAAATACTGATGAACTTTTGCTTTCCAAAAAAAAAAAAAGAAAAAAAAAAGTGAGGATGCTAATTTTGCTGTGTTGTATTTTTGGTGCAGTAAATGTGAAAATATAGAGGAATCATCTTCCATTTTGTTACAAAATTCCTATTAATTTTCATATAAAATCACGGGGATAAGAAGTTCAGGCAATTGACAATTCAATGAGAAAGAACCGAGGAGCAAGAATTGTTTTCAAGAGCATCAAGAACCACTTGCTTTCTGATTGTATACAAATTCATTTTGCGTCTCTCAGTTTTGAATACATTACAGTGCTAGGACAGGTCCTATTCCTAGCTGTATGTTCATAATAGTATCTATTTTGATTCACAGTGCAATATTGAAAGTAAATGTCTGTATTTTTATATAGCAGTGCACAATTCTTTTGATAATTTATTTTCTGTCCTGGTTTCAGTATCAAACAGGTGCTGAGTGCAGAGTGTTGCCACAGGAGAGTGACACAGTAGAGTTTTGTCATGAAATATTGTAGTATTTGATGACCAGAGTAAACTAAAAGATAAATACTTTCTTCTAAATGGTACACCTGACATCAGACTGAAGTTGTCTTGCCATGCAGTCACCAGATAAATGACAAACTGAACAGTTGTCAACTGTCAGTTGTTATATTTATCACAATAATTTCCTTCTTAAACAGAAAGAATACTAAAAATACTGTGCTAAATAGTGTAATATAATAAGCAGCTTAACAGCAAACATAACTTTTGGCTGAAAAAGAGGATCATGTTGAATACTACGTGTTCATGCCTCAGCATTAATGAAACTAGTACTCTCGTTTGATAATTTATAGCCCTTTACATACGAGAAGCATCATAGCACTGGAAAAAATTTTGGAAACTTGAGTACTGTTTTACATTTTTCACTGTTGCAGAATGTATTAATTGGTATATAGACCCTACATTTATCAGCTTTGAGCCAGCTAGTAGATGTTTTCTGATAGTCTTTTCAATTGCACTAGCTTTTTCCCTTTTGCTAACACAGCAGTTGCTGCTGGAGTGAATACTTGCCATTGTCAAAGATGTGACCTGTGGTACTACACTGCCTGTAATAGCAGTGAGATTCCTGCTTAGAAATGCTGACCTCAGTCATGGCTTCCAGTCACTGTGTGATACCGTTTTCCATAGCTCCACCAGTTTTGTTCATTCTTTCTTGTGGTTGTAGCCTTATCCATAACCGCTCCAAAGACACTCCTAGCACAGATGCTGTGTCAGACCCACAAAGGTGGACAAAGCCAGCCTTCCGGGCTTCCTTCCTCATTGCTTTTCTGATGGCTTGTTTAGTTATTTGGTTTTTTTTTTTCTGTGGAAGGACTTGACATTTGAAGCCTTGACACGAATGACTGTCATTAATACCACCTTTCCATTAAATGCATGGAATAAAACTTGTCAGCTTGTCTGCGCTATAATCTCAGCTTGCAAATCTCAACACTGAGATGAGAGAATGTCAGGTAATGATGACACCACACTGCTTCTCACTGACTCCCTCAAGGAAGAACTTTTGTAAAAGCACACTTACCTCAGCATGAATTGAGGACTTAGATCAAGTGCATGATGCAATCAGGCAGTCAGCATTCGGATGTAGAGCATGCTCTTACAACCCAAAGTTATTAGGGTGGCTGCATGAGGGAAAACGAGAGCACAGGTAGTATATCTTATAATCCAAAATTAACAGAGTTATGTTTTTAAATAATGTTCCTGAGTTTCTCCAGAAGATACATGACCAGGAGCAATAAAGATAACTGTTCTCACCAAGTATCTGCATAAGGTACAGTATTCCCCAGAGGTGCAATTTGATCTCCTGTGTATAGTCACTGTCTCATGTTGTCTGTTTATTACAGGACCCTTTTATTAGTTGCTCACTGATCTTATTCCAGAGAGCCCAAGTGATTATATCCCAGAAGTGCACTGATGTCAGGTAGTGGTCACAGAAGTGGTATAGTGTTTTTCTGTGTAAGCTTCCACCTGATGTCAGCTATAAGAATCATACTTAATGCAGTGGGATCTGTATTTGCCAGGTAGCTAAAAATTGAAAATATGGCAGTGCATTCAGTTGCTAGGTGTGGTTTTATAGGAAAAGATAAATATATATGGATGTTTCATACCTTGCTTTCAGCACCAGAAGTTTTGCAAAAAACTGACGTTTGTTTGATCACGTCTAAAGGTAAAAAAATTAAAAGAAGAAAAAGTAATAATTTAAGCATCTTGATTCCAGAAATATCCAAAACCCAAAACAAACTGGTTTTCATAGTGGATGCTCCTCAGCTGTTAAAGTCGAGCTGTACTGAAAATGTTAAAACCATATCTGATAAAAAAACATTTATAGAAGGTGATTTCCTCCAGCAGACAGATGAGAAGGATCCTGAACATGCACAGTGTATGAACTTCAGTGAAGATTCTCATCACCTTAAATTTAGCAAGGTTCTGATTTTATTCTCTGAGT